AACAGAGATGCCTGAGACATGCCACTGGGAGGCAGAGGCAAGGCAAGCATTGTCATGGGGGAAACATGGGGCGACTGTCATCCAAACAAGGTTATGCTTTGTTGATGCAGAAGTGTGGAGGGGGAGAGGAGGCCCATCTGTGGCCGCGCACAGGGCCATTTCAGCTGCAAGCCTGCACAGAGCCTCCATTTATCCCCTTCCAAGAGCCTCGTTCTCTCCTGGGTGGGGGCTGGCACATGCAGCAGCTGGGGTGGGGGAGGGCCACAGGCAAGGGGCTCAGAAATTGGGGGGTCAGAGAAAAGGGGTGGGAGCTGGAGACATTGGGACCCAGGCAAACAACCGAGAATGGCCAAACCTGGTGGTGCCAGGCTCAGAGGCCGAGTCTGTTTTTCCCTTTGTGAGCAGATGAAGAGAGAGCCAGAGAGGGACCTCGCTCAGAGAGTGACCTGTCACGGCTGGGTTCACTAGCTCACCGAGAGAGCTGTGTGTGGTCACACACCTGGAGGGGAATGAGGTGTATGCCCAGGCTCTGGAGTGATACAGGGAGGCAGGCCAGGGTCCTGTTTTGGCCCCATTAGAGAACCAAAGCCAGACTCTTTTATGTCTGACATAGTTTGCTCTTCAAGGTCAATTAAGGAATTGTATCTTAAGATACCTCATCTTTCTTCCAGTCCCCAATTCTTGGTGGGAGTGTGTCTTGGTACCAGTGACTGGTATAGACATTCCCAAAATTGCCTTCACTTTTTCTAGCTTATCATCTTCTTCTTATACACACACACAAACATACATATATAAAATATATATATTTTTATTTCAGAGAGGAAGGGAGAGGGAGATAGAAACATCAATGAGAGAGAGTTATTGATCGGCTGCCTCCTGCACCCCCCTATTAGGGATTGAGCTCGCAACCTAGGCATGTGCCCTGACCAGGAATCAAACCGTGACCTCCTGGTTCATAGGTTGATGCTCAACTACTGAGCCACACCGGCTGGGCTTATCTTATATCTTTTAAATTTTTGTTTATTTCCCCTCTACCGGTTGGAATGCAAGCTCTGCCTAAAACAAGGCCTGACACATAGTAGGCACTCAGTTTGCCATGAGTGAAAATGCCCATTTCTCCCACTTCTCTAACTTCATTCCCTCCCTTTGTCAATACCTCCAGACTCAGGAAGAAGGAAAAGAGAAAAGGAGGAGGGAATCTCATATCTGCACCACAGGAACAAAACACACCTATACTACAGACTGAATCCTGTGTGACCTAAGAAAATGGTCTGCTAAGGACAGTTCAGGAGGGAAGACAAAGGAGGGCAGAACTGATAAGAGTGAGAAAGGTCTGAGTGGTCCTCTGGGAGGGGCTGGGCGGACATCTGCTCAAGGGGGAGAGGCCAAGTCCTCACCCAGACTCTTCAAGGATCACAGTGGCCGCTTCTATGCAAATCTGCTAAGGCTCAGAGTGAAGGGTGAAGGGAATCTGCTAAGAAACGTAGGAAATTAACGGAAGGCCAGGGACAAAACCAGGCATTGAGAAAAGAACAAAGAGAGAAGGTATCTGGGTTTGGTACGCATCTTGGGCATT